TATGGTGAAGTAAAGTTGGCTTTGAAAGTTGGTGTCAATACTCCCTTAAAGCAGTGTTAGTCGCTCAGGAGTTGCTACACATTTAAGTGCAAGTGCAACTTGGCAGCCCCAGCAACTTCCACACGTAAAAAAAACTATCCGCTGGTGCACAGTGATGTGTCCGATCGTTGGTCCATGTCAGGAAACTGCTCTCTGGGAGACTGTTATCCAGATTGATTTAGTGGTACAGTTTGTTTGCTGCTTTCAATTCATTTTCACTTCGGTGATGTGCACATTCCTTAGCAATTGGGTGCAGTCCACCAACAAGTGTATACCTAGACAGGGTTGCCACTGACGGCTACTTTTCGCCAAATTGGCAAATTTGAGGGGCCCATGGTGACTTAAAGTTATGAATGGCGACATGGCAAATTTTCGGGGATTTATGGTTTGGATGTTGGCCAAGTTATCCGTTGCGTATTTAGTGTCTTCAAATGGACTTGCCGACAACCTTTTTTATTTTTCGTAGTTATAGACCCTCATGTAGAAGGCACAATTTAGCATGTTTGTCCCGTTTTTCGTGTGTATATTCTAATTCGCCCACATCCTGGACGCGTTGGTGCATCTACCTGCAAACTCCCAGCAAAATTTACATCAATGGGCTGCTTCGCGAGGCGTTCGTGTTATACTACATTTTTCCTGGTTCTCGGGAGCTTTCAGTTTCTTGAAATTTTCACTTCTTAAGTGACTCATCAATGGCACTTGTCCCGACCACTGCCCTGAATAGCTTGCCACTGCTGTAGCGCCCACTAATTTGGTGTGTAGAGTTTAAATTTGTTAATATGCTGGGCCAAAAAGTCTGGCTTCTCTGGGCAGCCTTCTTAAACTGCAGTGAGACGAATGTATTGACCCTGAGAACGAACGCTGTCGTCGCTGCGATTTGACGTCACGGCAAAGACTCGCCTGCTCCGCCACCGCTTCTCTCCTTTTTCTGATCCCGCGGTGTACCCGCTCCTTAGCGAAATGTTGGCGATTACTCCTACATTTTGCAATGCAAATCGCTCTACATACGAGGTTGAAGGCTTCTTAACTAGTGAAACTTGTCGAAGCTGTAAAAAGTTTTCATAATTTGTAGCCTAAGGTAGGCACACTCACGTCCAAACGAAAGATGTATTGTGAAAATGGTTTCGCAGGACAACAAGACAGTCGTTCTCATTGCGTACGCCAAGAAATGGGTGCTTAAGAAATATGCTGAGTGGTGCTAACGTGATTACAACTAGGCACGGACTCCGGGTTCAGGACATATGTGTGGCGAAGTATCACAAATGAAATTAAACATTTTCAATTCACTAAATACATTGCGCTTTGCCGAGCAGGTTACGCTTGCGTCTGTGAAAAATCAATGAATTGACAGAATTGCGTTTTCTTCAACAGGAGACTTCACACGAATCTGACTGTCATAAGAGCTCGCCTAACGTATTCGGAAGATCAGCAAAATAATACTGCCGCGCACACAAACATTTCGGAAATGTTGCGACATGTGTTTTTTTTTTATTTTCAAACACTAACTCCATCCAGCAAGTTCCAATGAATTGCTTCGATCGCGCACTCAGCGACATGACCTAATTACTATACAACCTTTGCCTAGATGATTTCACGACTGGTCTCGCACATGATGTCCACGTAATCAATAGATACATTAATTCCTACGATATAAATAACACTAGAGGAGGGGAAACCCTCACATTTCTTCAAAGAACTACTCATAAAAAACTCAACCTAATAATGTAAATATGGTGTCTTGGGTCTCAAAATTGCATGATTATGCACCAGTTAGTGCGTTGTATTCAAACAGATGTGTGTTCTTGCTTTTCACATCCTTCAGAATACAGCTGCCATGGGCAGGAATGGAATTGATCACAGGGGTTAGCAACGCATCACAGATGTTTTCACCCCTTTCACATTGCCTATGACCGAGCACGCGAGTGTGCGGAAGCGAAAGTAAACTTGTTATTGTTTCACTAGGAATATTACAGATTCTGTTTTTGTCACCTTCATCTGCAGCTTGAAACGAGCACAAAGTGAACACAAACAACGGTACAGCGCACGCAGTGAACGCATTATTATGTAGGCGCACCGCGCCGGTTATCAAACAGTCCGTGCCTTGACGTCACTCAAGCCTCCCACCAGGTGGCGCCACCCCAACTTCTCGGGGCTAATAGCTTAAGCACCACCACACAGAAAGTGTTATGCAGGAATTGTTAGAATTACGCAGTACTTTCGAATTTATTTCCGTTGCTTTGTAATCAAGTTTGATTATCGGACTTGTGATTCTACTGCAGCGGAATTCCCAAAATCTGCAGGAGGGCTATGCTCGGTGTTCATCTCTTGCTGTAGCGACTGCTTCATGCTGCATTCGCTACAAGTGAAGCTATCACAAACTTTTGTTATGAGGCGCTAGCATTCAGGGGCGCTACTAGTGCATGCATGCCATTTCTCAGTGCTTGCATGGTAAAGCAAGTGATGCGACTGACATTAGAAAACGTCAGTATGATGGATTTATAGATGGAACCGTAGTCCACGGTGCTATATATAATTAGTAATATTTAATACTAGGCACGCAACACAGATGTAGAGTGGTGATTAATATTGAAGAAAAATGGTGACATTTGGTGACATTTTACTCATAGGCGAATTTCTTTCTAAAATCAGTGGCAACCCTATACCTAAAACCTGCTTGATGTTTTGCGGGGATTGCTTTTTGTTTCAAAGCTTAAATATTAACTTCAAAACTAGTATGGTGCGAATACTTTTTTATGCTGCTACTTGAAATGGAAAGTTTTCTTAGCTAGAGTTTGCTATAAGGCACGCATTGTGCATATGCTTTTCAGATAACGTCTGTCATAGGCTCACTAATGAGCAAAATGATTTTTTATGTAATAATAAAGCACAATTTCTCAATCCTGAAAACACCCCTCATACTGCGATATGGCACTTTGCAGGCGAAAAACGTGCAAAAAGAAAATACTGTTGGAGCCGTCACCTTGATATTCCCGAACCAAACACCATGATGTCATAAATTTTTAAGGTATCTTCTAGGTCCTACATAGCTTCTAATGCATAATAATGTAGTACGTTTGTGTCATCTGTGAGTGCCATAGACCTAGCATACGAAGTTCAGAAAATTTCATTGAGTCAGTGTCGTGGAAATATGAGAAATACATTTTCAAATTTTTTGTCACGCTCGGAGATTTCAGCATAAAATTCAGAAATGAACTTTAACCTTGATTTTTTTTCTAATATTAAACTATGATAACGAAAAACATGGCATTAGCAGTCTTAGAGTGCAGTTCATCACTCTAAGCCAAGTCATTGTTTCTCTTTAGTGTCTCTTTTTTATCTTTTCACATACGGTAATTGTCTTGTAGTCAGGATAATCGCTGGTCATTAAGGGTAACTGACTGGATTCCCAGAGAAGGTAAGCAGGCGAGGGGGAGACAAAGTTAGGTGGGCAGATGAGATTAAGAAGTTTAAGAAGTTCGCGGGCGTAAAGTAAGTAAGCACAGGACTGAGTTAACTGGTAGAACATGAGGGAGGCCTTTGCCCTGCAGTGGTCATAATGAGGCTGCTGCTGCTGATAGTTATCTTGAGACTCAGTCTGGTGACTCCAAAGGCTGTGTCGGAATGAAAAAAAAAAAGGGGGGGGGGGGCACTAGGTTACAGGGTCCCTGCGACACTTTTCTTGCTGATAGTTATCTTGAGACTCAGTCTGGTGACTCCAAAGGCTGTGTCGGAATGAAAAAAAAAGGGGGGGGGGGGGGGGCACTAGGTTACAGGGTCCCTGCGACACTTTTCTAAGTAGCCATAGAATAAATTTAATAAAGGAGTCTTGCAAATTCACCGCTGCAAAAGTTTTCCGAATCTTATCTGGTATGCGCAGTTACAAAGATCAATTGCACGCTGAATCGCATTCTTTCTTCTCGCGTCTTAATGAAAGCGCTAGAAGCTAAGCAGAAGGGATGGCACGGGGGAGCAAAATGCGTCACGTGAGCCCGTGTTTTTAGTGCGATTGCGCGCATGCGTGGACAAGTCGCGGCCTCTCGTGACGGCCCCAAAAACGGCCAAGTGCACCATGCTCAAATCGGCCATTGGCTGATATTGTGCCTGGGACGTAGTGATTTTCATCATTTAGCCTCAATTGTCTAGAGAAAAGAGTCTTTTAGCTGACTTTGAAAATTTATTGTAAATTCGAGGCTGCGTGCTTCGCTATAATATTTGGCACGCGTATTCTCGGGAGCCTCAACTTCAAATCGGCAGCGATTTCTGACCATGCTCAAAAAGCGTTGGAGGGTCACTGTAAAGTGCAATCAATGATAACTAATTTTAAGTATGTCTGGAATTTTTGCTGCCAAGAGTATCGTCAAAAGAAAATGACGGCAGTATGTGTCTGAAGCAGATATTGTAGTATGTCAAGACTTGTTCTAATGAACTAAAGTTGTTATTACTTGTTTTGTTTTACATGGTTAAGGGTTTTCTAGTTACATTTTTCAGCAATCATGTAGCCGTTTACCTATTGGGCAGAAGCTGCAACTAGGAACACAGCCTCGAGCACTTGTTTGTCATGAAATACAGCTGAATACCCACTGTTGTGCCATGCGTTTGTAACTGCATATTGTCAGACAGGCACGCAAACTTTAAGAAATATATCAGCTCCCTCATCCTAATGCTCTACCAAATGTTATTCAACAATGGAATTTGGCTTTTATGCTTTATTATTTTGCAAAATGGATAAAATATTCTCAACCAGCATGAATATTGTTCTTTAAGTATGATAGTTTCTGTGCATGTAATACTTTCATTACCCAAGTGTGTAAAAAACATTTATGACTCAGCTCAATTGCCCAGTGCTTTGGTAAAGCAAGTCAGTGACTCCCACTTTTAAGCTTTCCCTTCTATTGTCATTGTTTTCATAAGGTGAAAGTGCTGTAGTTTGCATTGGGACATGCTTTTCTTTTTACTGCCAGGCTGCAAGATGTGCTCATGGAGGGAAGTGACAAGATCTACCTTGTGTTTGAGTATGTTTCGATGGACCTGAAAAAGTACCTTGATGGATTTGAAAAGGGTGTGAAGCTTGCCGAATCTCTTGTCAAGGTGAGTGAACTGTGTCATTTGTGTAACTCTTATAGTACCATATTCCACATTGTTATGCTGTTGCGTTCAGCGCCTAGCTGACAAGGGAGCGGTGTTCTTTTGATCCTCAATCAAGCAGCCGATCGGCTGCCAGCCTATATCCACCATGTATTGTCTCTCTAACCAGAGGGTGAGGCGTCGTATCACCACGACGCCGTAAGCCTGTTTCATGAGATAAGTGCAACATCTTCCTTGGAAGGGACAGCGGCGGCAGCCGAAAATAGCCCCGCTACTGAGCGAGCGATCCGGCAGATCCTTTTGAGCTACTGCGACGACCCCCTTGATCTATACTGTCATGAGCTTGGAACGCCTTGCTCAGCAGCACACACGCGAAGAAGAGGAGCCCCGCCCCATTGGTGCCACATTGGAGTGCAGTGACCACGCCTCAATATTGGACCTTTACGTGGGCCCTGTGTGCTTGCCACCTTTGCAGGTTGTGTGTAGCAGTGTAACATGTGACTGGACATTGCCGTCTGCATGCGTTCCTCGATCTAGGGATCTGGGGGAGAATGTGCCCTTTATAATGAGCCACTCCGCTCATTCGAAGGAGCACCATGTAGAGCTCACCATGTACATAATGTAAATAAATCCTCTCTACTATGTTCAACTTCCTCCTGCCTTCGCGTCTTCATCCCGGATTTCCGGTGCCTGCAAAGGGCAGTCGCAACAACTGGATGTCAGCGTTGGGATGAGACTCCGCAACGGAGAGCAACACGGACCGGAGGTCAGCCGAAAGCCCTAGCCTTGGAATTCGGCAGGATCGACGCAGCGTACCACGACCACACATAATGGGGTGAGTGCCTGGCTTTGTGCTTGAGATGTATCGAGTCTTTTAGCCTAGACCTGCAAGAGATGTTATCTCAGCACGGAGCAGCACTCTATGTTTATCTGAACAAATAGGTTAAGCAGGAAAGCTTAGGTAATTCAGTAGGAACATAAGTGAGTTTTGCAGGAGTTGTTAGGGTACGTCGCGGGAAAGCTTTGGAATGTTGTAGAAAGCGGAAGAGTGAAGAATAAATAGAGAAAATGTGTAGAGAGGGAGGTTGGCCACGTGAGACTGCTTGTGTGGTTAAGCTTTTAGTCTCCATTGTGGGATTTGCCAGGCTTCAGTTTCTCCAGACCCAGAATCGAAACTGGTGGGTTTGTGTCTTATCACAGCTGAGTCAAAGCAAAGTAGTTTTGGGAGCTCGATATACAAGTTAACGACAATACTCCTACATCTCAAATCTGCGAAGTAGTAGGCGAATGTAACAACTGTTGAGGCTCTCAGCGCCGTTCACCAGTAGTCGCTCCGAATCCCAGCGCTGATCACCAGTTGGTGTGGATCCCGGTGCTGAGTCTTATCCCACCGCTGGCACAAGTTGTTGCGGACCGGGGTCTACCCGGTCTCTTGTGGTAGTGTGGTGTAGCTTCGGGTTGAGGAAACGAACGCTGACAAAGTGGGGATACGAAAAACAAACAGGTTTATGGCACTATTTACACTTATTTACAGCATGAGGTTAGGAGTTTACAAACCACGAGCGTGGTGGTTGAACCATTACATGGTTTAGAGCGACGTCCTGCACTCTGCAGCGTCGTTTTAAACCCTGTCGGGCTCCTCCTCCTTGATTGGAACGTCGATCACACACACACACACAAGACACCGCCCACAGGACATAATTCAGTAGCACATGGTCCGCCGAATAGTTATTGCCCCTCTTGACGCAATGCTCTGAGTATAGGGGAAATAGCGTTCTCTCCCGGAACAATTTGGCGGTTGAATTGCTTCTTCCGACTTTCCCTGGAAGGGTAGCCAAGGAGTAGACACTTGAATCGCGGAGACACGACCTGTGCGGTCGGTCTGCTTCTCCGTCTTGCTAAACAAGCCGGCCCGGAGGAATTGCTTGTGGGGACATTGACTCACGAACCGTCTTCTAATCTTTTTGTCGCTCCCGGCCGCGGTACGCTGGTTCCAAGAGAACTGGGGTTCCAGGCGTGGGAGCGCTGCCCGGCTACGTTTCTCAGCGACAGCCTGGCGCCTACTGAGGACGGTCATAACACAAGGAGGGTGTTGAGTATTTCGGAAATAGAATCTTAATTGAACAGGAATGGATAGATAGAGAGAGAAAGAAAGAGAGAAGAGATGAAAAGAACATGGGAAAGGAAGTACAGAGGGCGCATAGAAAAAAAAAAGACATAGGAAGACGATGCAAGCGTTAAACAAGGAGTATGGAAAATTAGAATGCGAGCATGAAAAAGAGATCAAACAGGTGCGGGTCCAGCAAGTGCGGTCTAAGCAATGCGCGTTCAAAATCGGCGAAAACATCGAAAGTTTTCTTGCGTCTTTCGAGTGTGTTTGCACAGAGGTAGGGCTAGACCATGACTTTTGGTGTGTTGGTTTGTTTTGTGTTCTTCCAAAATGACGCGACCTGTGTACTGGCTCGCCTTTCTAATGAGGAGTTCGAGAAATATGAAGTCGCCAAGGCAGCGTTATTCAGGTGCTTCGGTATTTCAATTAAGAAAGAGGAGATAACAACTGGAACACACATAAAAGTGATACAAGAAATGGCTGTGGAGAAGGAGAGGATCAAATGCAAATATGAAATACTAAAACCCGGGTTAGATGCAAGGCAGAGGAGTGGTCAATCGGTACAGGTAAAGCACAAGAAGTGTGAGGAACAGTGGAGTGCGGTGTAAATCTGAGCCGTAGGAAAAGCCAGCACATGTGAAGGCAGCAGCAGGTTCCAGAAGGAACTGAGATTGACAGCTGCGAAAGAAGCTGCGCTAAGAGGAGAGGTCGACGAAGGCAAGAGTAAATGCGGAGACGTGCTGTGCCAGGGGAGTTTTAGCAAAACAGCTAAGATAGTTGTAGACCACTTGGCACAGACACAAAGTGAAAGTGTCCCGATGTCGGATCTTGCTTGCAGAGTCCAAGGAGGTTTCGACCCTCTAGGCAAGAACACCAGCATTAGGCCAGCAGAGTGTGAGGAAGTAGTGCAGGATAGAGTAGTTGTGGACAGCTCCCAGGCAGGTAAGCCTGGTCCACATGAGAGTATTGCAATGGTGGGTCCTGCATGCGGTGTCCAAGAGGATTTTCACCCGCTTGCCAAGAACACCAGAGTGAACTCGGGAGATGGAGCAAAAGTAGAGATTGGTGAGGACAATGCAGTTGTGGACAGCTCACTGGAATGCGAGCTGGCTTCTTTGGAAGAAAACACTTGCGGTGTTGCGAGACGCATTGAGCTGTCCGGCAGTCTAGAGAGTAAGGGAGAAGACAATTTGTGTGCAAATCGTTTAGACTGCACGGGTAAGGTGGCTCACGTGGCCAGCGAGAGCGCTGGCGAGCAGTAGAGGCGAGTGGAAGGGTCAGAAATGAGCCTGAAGAAGAAGCGTAGGCGGAAGCGGCGTCGTAAAAGCTGGCGTGCGACAAAATGCACAACCCTCTTGAAAAGAGTTGGTTAACGTTCGAGGACAGTTTACAGAATTGGGCGTTTGTCATTGCCGCCGGAGTTGCTTCGCATGTGTCGAAGCAGCTGGACGAAAAGGAAAGGAAAAGTGTTTGGTGAAAATGCAAACAAAAGGAAGGGGCGTAGTAAGCAGGAATGAGGTCTTTGTCATCCGCGCCGAAGTTGGTTTGCATGCGTCCAAGCCACCAGACGAGGAGAAAAGGCAAGGGCGCATTGGGTGAGAATGCAGACAGAAGGAAGGGGCCAGTAAATCTCTCGTTTCATCCACGGCACGTTTAATGTGGTGCGGGAGTACAAAGTCAGTGGTCCTCGGGAAGTAGCCAAACGAGGGGAAGAACTCGCTTGGGGTTCGGAGGCGAAGCGAATTGCTTTTGCCATTGTTGTAGTCCCCGTTCGCTAAGAAATGCCCACAGAGCGCGACCACTGTGTGTACGGCTGAAAAATGAGCGAACAGCTGTTAGCTTTTGAGAAATGGTCACTTGTTGATCTGTTTGTTTTTCGTTTTGAAGTTCTGTTTTGACTGTTTAAGTTGATTTTGCTTTTGAAAAGTGTTCTGTTGAAATTTCGGCTACTAGGTAGCGTTGAGGTAACAAGTGCAAGGCTTTGTTTATTTCTTAACCTTTGTATGTTTTGGTTTTAAAGGTAAGCACTGTGCGATTGCATAATGACACGCCTAGGAACGTTTGTGTCAAGTAAGAGCGACGTTAGAAACTGATTTTGAGTGAGCGCAGAGACGCAAGGATATTACTTGTGAGCTTTTTTAGGGTTCATGTGAAATTTCTTTTTTGTGCGCATATGTCTGGTGGGGACATCATAAGTAAAGTTAGTTCGAGAGATAATGTGCAGCTTTTATGAAGAAGGCAACCGCAAGGCAGAACTAGTAGTTCATCCACGCAGTAGCACTATAGCGTGCATTTGCAGACGAGTAATGTGGTGCTGCATGACCGTTATCTCTTCGTCAGCTTTGCGAGAACTGACGACTATCTTTGGTGGCACAAAATTTTGGGGACTAAATTGGGGCTTTATTTGATGAGCATGAGGCCTGGTAGGTTACAGCCGATTACTCGCGCTGACACACAAGTATGCCACACAAAGCGCATCACCTGACAATTAATTTGCTTGAAAACAGTTTCATAGGAACATTATTCTCGAATAGGGGTTGGGAGCTTCAGCGAAAGCTCAGAAAAATGTTCCCATTGCTGCTTTGTGTTTGGTAATACTACTTGAGAAAGGTTGTTTTAGATGATTTTTCGGACTCGATGTGTCTCAGTGCGAGCAGGGCACTCTCCCGTGCCTGTGGTTGTGTGTATGTATGCATATTCCCAGGAAGAGAGTAACGAGGAACGAGCCGAAGAGTCCTTGGCAGGGAAGCGGCCCCTTTTATGTGTGCTGTCATTAGCTTGGGACCCCTTGCCAAGCGGCACAGGCACGACGAGGAAGAGCCCCGTTGGTGCCACATTGATGTGCAGTAACCACGCCTCAATATTAGATGTTTATGTGAGCCCTGTATGCTCGCCATCCTCACAGGTTGTGTGTAACAGTGTAACACGTGATTGGACAGAATCTAGGGATCTGGGGAGAATGTACCTTCTATAATGAGTCACCCGGCTCGTTCGAAGAAGCGCCACATTCAAGAGGGCGCGATGTAGAGGAGCTTGTCGTGTCAGAGAGAGCTCGCCATGTTCGTAATGTAAATAAACCCTCTTCAAGTCTCCCTCCCTTCTGCCTCGGCGTCCTCATCCCGGATCTCCGGTGCCTGCAAAGGATGGTCGCGACAATGCACTCAGGATTTTTTGATGGACGCCACGTGCAGCCATGTTTCACTGAAATGGGGCTCATAGCTGAGAGGTTTTGCAATGCAAGTGTAAAATTTCTTCAGCACTGTCAAGAAAAAGTAGCAGATACGTGTTTTAGGCAGACTGACTTTTGTTAGGTACCAATATCAGGATTGTAATGGGTGTGATATAGTACTAATTAGCTGTTACCTGAGGCATTTGTCGAATAAGTTGGATTACTTGAACCTTATTCCCATGATGGTGTACAAACATCATACTCTTGATCAGTTGCATCTTTTCCTCAGCAGCTTAATAAAATTGTCACCATAGCCAAGTGCTCTTCTCCTCAGTTTTACTACATTCCACATGATAATAACATAGGATGGGTGGTCAAAATGTTGGCAAATGTTAATGGCTTTTCAGGACATAACATTGTATGTTACCCCGCCGGCTGCTTACCTGCAAGCCGCAGCTGCAATACTGCCTGTGGCAGTTGCATTTCGAAGGAGGTGAAATGCTAGAGGCCCATGCACTTAGATTTTGTAGTTGTCATAGAACCCCAGGAGGCTCCTTTAGGGTGTGCCTCGTAATCATATTGTGATTATGGCTTGTGAAAACCCAGCAAATATTATTAGGAAACTTATGTACAGAAAAGCAAAATGCAACGTTTACCCTGTGACAAAGAGACAATAGCTTGGTTGCAGTGGTGGATGTTATGGGAAGATTGACATCGCTTTTTGCTACTTCTGGTCACCATGTGATACTGGGCCTTCAGATGCCAGAATTGACTCGGCTAAGGCTGAAGCTATTTGGTACATGTATACTTTCATATGCTGGATGGCATGCTGGATGGGGGAACACTGTCCAAACGATGACCTTTCATGCTTCTCTTGAGCTTTAGGAACAGGAAAGAGTCTGCCAGACTCGCATTAGGGCTAATGTACCCCTAATACAGCACGTATCTGAGCTCGGCAGACTTCTCCCTGTTACCAAAACTCAAGAGGATCCTGAAATGTCACCAGTTAAAGTGCCTCATCCAATCAGTTGGCTTGGAAACTCAAGAGGATCCTGAAATGTCACCAGTTAAAGTGCCTCATCCAATCGGTTGGCTTGGGAGCCTTCTTGGGAGTGTGTCATCTAATCAGCTGGCTTGGGAGCCTTCTCAGCATCAGAATGGTATTGGAACTGGAGCATCAGTGCTGAAGTAAGCTATTTTGAAGACTTCTATAATATGGACCAATCGAATTAATAAATTACTCTTGTCCAACCCAGTGTCATTACTTAACAGACTCACCCTGTATGCTGCTTCAGCTCATTGAAATCCACAGACATATTGAACAATGTTATTTCAACAAATAGCATATTTCTTTTAATAGATCTACACGCTGAATATCTGCCCTGTGACAGATATTCAGTGTGTAGTTTTTGTCATTTCCCTTCGAACAGTGAAACGCATGGTTACCATTGCACAAGTGGCAACTCCAGAAACGAAGCTCTTATAGTTTTATTTTAACAGAGAAACCACGCTGTTTTAGGACTAGGCCAGAGCACATTACTTTGTGATCAAAAGTGGCTTATCACCATGAGGGAATGACAACATTGGCCGTGGGTTTTGATTAGTTTGATGCTACAAGTCGCACGTAATATTCATATGGTGTGACTATTGTGCTTTAGAATATATAAAAGCACTTTTTATACTTTCTCGGGTACAAAAAGATTTCTGTTATGAAATATGAAAGTGTGAAAACAATTGCAACACGACGCTAGGTGCATTGCACAACAGCCACTATGACGCGAGTTGTCTGATATGTGACTGCACGAAGTGTGCGGCAACTGGAACTAGCTTTTGATGTCTATGGGAGAGTGAAATGCAGGGAACGTTTTTTTTTTTATTGTCTGCTGGGTTTTTGAAGTTTAAAGGCTTATAACTTCCGTTACCATGCACCGATTTTCATACATTTCTTTGTGCTCATCTAAATATTTTTCAGCACTGCAACACGCACTCCAGGTGCTGCAGAATGCAGACAAAAAAAGTGTCGCAGGACCCCTTCAACTAAAGGGGCCGGCGACTGCTTTTTCTAGGCCTACTTTTTTACGATGAGACAGAAAACTCGCCTTTCGTAGTGTTTGTAGCTGCAGTAGTGAATTCCAGAAAACGTTATTTTACAAGCAGTATTTTTTTATCTGAAGGGCTCTAAACACAGATCTACCTTTCCTCCATCAACGCTGAAAATTGATGTGAAGCCGCCAACCCTTCTTGCGACTCGTGAAAGCTGCCGTTATTCTTTTGCAGGGGTACCTGTAACTATGCTTAAGCACCTTTATTTGGAGCTTTTCAACTATTTTTGAAAATAAGCTGCTACAGTGAGATGATGTGGCATTATACACTTTTTATGTAGTATCTCGTGTGTGCCTGTGCTCGAAGTTGCCTGAGCCTGTGACATGGGGGGCTTGTCCCGACTTCCTTACTCTTTGGATACACAAGCCAAGCCAAGTCATAGAAAATGTCGCTATGCATATGCACGGCTGCACCGAGTAGCAGTGCGTGTCATTTCTCATACAAAGTATAAGTAAAAAACTATATTGCCCTAAAATCTTAGCAGCCTCAAAACTACATGCCCGACAAGTAGTTTGGTTTGGGCTAGCTGAACGTGCACGGGCGCATGAGCACACTGGAAAGTTGCTCAAGATGCTCTGACGAGCATGGATCATTATTAGGTCACTCAAAGGCAGTGCCACTTTAGTGCATACTACTACGCAGGCCTATGTGACATTTTTCTGAAATAATATCTTTTGATACAAAGAAATAAACAATATATCAATCTACTACGGAAAAAAACGTCGACTGCGTGGGATGAACGGTCATTTGGCCAGGGCAGGTACATCAGATCGTTCATACTTTTGCCACCAGAGGTGCCACAGGTCATATTTTGTGACTTTCAATGAAGAAATAAAAATATAAAACCAACTTTCATGAAAAGAACAGGGTTGGTTGTTGGAGTCAATGTGATAGACAATCTTTTCATCAGTGGAGTCACCTAATTTCATATTCTGGGCAGTTGTCGGTTCCTTTGATCATGAAAAGTGCATTCAGTTAGTATAAATACTAGGCGACATTCAAAAACAATATTTCAACACAAAAAAAAACACTTAATTTTTCCAAAACTGCATGGGAAAGCAGCTCTATTTTCATGTACAGATGGCTAGGGTTAGTTCCTGATTACTCTCAATGCAATAATTTCTTTTTTTTTTAACACAGAACAGCTGCAGCTGTGTCAGATGTTTTTTTTTAGTGTTTGCATTAATTTATTACAAATGTAGCAGCTGGTAACTCTCCTTTCTTGAGGAAATGGCATACATGCCTGTGATGGAATTTTTTTCTGACTAGTACTAGGCTCATGCTTGTTGCACGAGACACAGAGTTGGATAGTTTCTTCAACGATCTGTACACATGTTATTCTTTCAGATTATGGGACATATTTTCGCTCTTGTGGTGCATTACACTGTAAGAACATGATTTGTTGAATATTTTGCATTGCTCATGGTGTAAAACACTCCCCAGTCTGCCTTCTTGCTTATTTTATTGCTCATAACCAAAGTTGTTGCTCTCCTTGGATTTCCTTGCAGGACTACTTGAAGCAGATTTTAGAGGCCATCTTGTTCTGCCACCAGCGGCGTGTGCTCCACCGTGACCTGAAACCCCAAAACTTGCTCATTGACGAGAAGGGCACAATCAAAGTGGCTGACTTTGGTCTTGCCCGTGCTTTTGGAATACCTGTCCGTGTCTACACCCATGAAGTGGTTACCCTGTGGTACAGAGCCCCTGAAGTACTCCTTGGTGCTCAGCGATACTCCACTCCAATCGACATTTGGAGTATTGGTTGCATTTTTGTGGAAATGATCAATCGTAAACCTTTGTTTCATGGAGACTCCGAGATTGATCAGCTTTTCCGCATTTTCAGGTCGGTGTACTTCTATGCAGGCATGTTAATTTTATTATCTGTAAAGCCTTTTCTTTTTGTCCCCTGATTTCTTGTCGCACCTCTGTCTGACAAATGGTGACAGTTTTGACCATTAATTGTTTGACACGTCCATGTTGCTTAGTGCTTGGAAATTGCAAAAGCAAAAGAGAGAAAGAGAGAGCGCAACAGGGGAAAAAAAGAGAAAGAAATGTTAGAAAAAGACAAAAACAAAAATACTAAACACGAAACATAAGAAAAAAGAAAAGGGAGATGAAGAAGGAAACAGAAAAAAAAATGAAGAAACAATGAAGGCTGCCCAGCTCCGCACTTCCTTCAAAGCTTGGAACCACTAGTGTGAAACAGCCTTTTTCTCAGAAGCGATACAGTCAAAGTCGGCTGCAACAAATGCCACCTCAACTAAATCTCGGCTTCTATGCAGTATTTATTTTCCAACAGCTTGCCATAGAAGTCAATGCATTGAAGTTGTCGCCACAACATACCATTTTTCAGGCTTGATTTTGCTTCAATGAAACTTCGCTCACTGGAGCTTGGCTTGAAATTATTGTTTTGTGTATGTGATATACTAAACATCTCACCAACCATGTAGCGGTATACTAAACGTTTCACCAACCATGTAGCGGTCTGTGCATTCACGGCGCATTGTTTCACCAAAAACTCCTGTAACCAATTTCACGGGAGTGACGTAGTTAGGTCGCGATGACAATGCGGCTGGCCACCTTGTGACAGGGCACAGGTTCGCTTTGCCAAGTCGAAGCCACAGCTGATCTGTAACTCTTCTAGATCATGTGATCGCAGTTTTCACCAAAGCAACCAAAATGCCTGTAAAAGTGTCAAAGCCTGTCACTTGTGCTTGTGTGCCACGACAGCCTTGGCAGCATCTTTCGGACACCGCAAATGTGCGCACAGATGTCAGCATAGACAAATACATTGTTGCTGGTGTGCCACAACAAAATTTTCACTTTACAAAGTTTTTTGTGTTCCACCACTTTTGTTGCAGTGAGGTTCAACTGTAGCGAAACATTGTTCTCTGCTGTTGCCAAATTTGTTGCCACTCTTTCAAAATCGTGTGTGCTTACAGGACCCTGGGCACCCCAACGGAGGAGAACTGGCCACATGTCGCCCAGCTTCCAGACTACAAGCCAAGTTTCCCCAGCTGGAAGGAAAACATTCTGCACACACTTCTGCCTGACATGGATAACAAGGGCCTCGACCTGCTCAACGTAAGTGAACGCCAAGTCTTGGATGTTGCTATAGATAGATGGCTTTCCTTCAGATTGTTTGAAATAAACTATACTTTTTTTTAGTGTATCAACAGGATAGACTTAATGAACGAAGGAGGAGAGGCAGCATGGCATGAGTAACATTTCACTATCTCCACCTGCTCAACTATGGGCTCTTCTGCACTGTCAGCTGTCGAACTACTATATCTTGTGAACTATACAAATTCTGTACAGCATTGGGTGAAGCTGGAGCACTTTTTTGCTCATGTATATGTGTGTAAGTTTGCTGAGGTTTTAGACAATGCTGCTAATAATCTAAGATGGCAGCAGTGCCTGTAAGCTCCCCCCAGATTGCACTGCTTTTGGAGTCCCTTAGTGACATCAGTGTGAATGGTGTGTTGCCCTAAAGGAATGGAAAAGCTCTTTGCTTATTACACCAATCCATTTTAGCCACCCCATCGATGGTGCTCACAGCTTATCTCCTGAAGGGTTTAGTAAGATGTTATCCCACTTCGTTATGGGGGATATAACGACATACCTGCCAACTCTCCTGAATCGTCTGGCAGACTCCTGAATTTTGAACAAATCTCGCAATTGTACGAATTCTATCTAAAATCTCCTGACAAGTGGTCACCACAACAGAGGCACGTTTTTGTTTAAATCACTCGTGTAAGCCTCAGCCTTGTCTGCCACGAGAGTTGTGGTGCTGTGCAAGAGCACTTGCCACTACACTTCTAGTTCATTGTAATCATACTGTAGAGTACCGCGCATCTGTGTGAAGGCTGGCGGCCGCGGGACCCGCTCACCACCATATTGAAAGAAGGCGAACTAAAAGGTACCACAACTTTTGCATCTGTCTGCTGTGGGCCCCGCATTTTATACGCTAGGCCTACACCGCTTGCCTAGGAATCAGTTGTGTTTCTTAACGTGGTTGTGCGGGTTGCGTGTGTCCCAGAGTTCAGTTGGAAGGTTGATGGTGGTGCATACCTGCCAAGTCTCTCCCGGATTGTACGAGAGACTCCCAGATTCAGACAGGCTCTTTTGTTGTACGGTTGTCATAAAAATCTCCCAGAAATCGAAATTTGCTTGCGTGATCTGGCCGCATTTACACAATGCAGGTCATCTAAACGTACAATAGAATCTCAGTTATGCGAAACTGCGGCAGATACAAATTCGTGCAATTTCTCAGCCAAATTCTACTGTGTTCATAGGGCGAAAGTTGGAGTAACCTGAACACTTTTCCTAATCGCGGTGAGTGATATGAACTTTAGTATGAAAATCGTCGAATGAAGTACCTGTGCGACCAGCGCTCGCACTATTTTATACAACGCGTGGGGCTGTGATTGCAACAATCGCAGTAGACGAAACCGCAATCGTTCTTGACACGATTATGCATATGGCGATCACGTAACTGACAGATCTCCAAAAGTGTTTGCGCGTCCAACACTCGACCAGTCAAAGCAACGCTACTTTTCGCAAACTTTGTGGACGAAACCGCGGCAGATGCGATCATAGATAGGATGAAACGGCTTAGTTTTGAAAGTGCATGAGCAGCCAGCGCACGCAGATTGAAAACGGAACTACCGTTTGCCGCAACTGCCGTGCACGAAATTGCAGTTGTGGTGACACGATAGTGACATGCGAGCTCCGTGGGCACGCGGCTAACGCAGTGGTCAGAGCTGAAAGAGCTGCGCCGATTGCCTGATTCTGCGCCAATCTGACGTGCTGCGCCTAAATGGCAATTTGCGCGTGCATAGTCAAATTCCGTCAAGTTTTTTATCATCGACCGATCAACTCGCGTGGGCTACACAAAGGACACAGCCGTGTCCGTATCATATTAGTGGTCACGTTCTATATTGGTTAATGCATGAATCTTGCTTCACGTGAACATAATGCGTGAATCTTGTGAAAGTGGTGTCAATACCTCATTATGCTACTACATTTTATGATTGAACTGCAAAGCTGCTAGACAAACAATAAAGACAGCAGTGGTGTTTCATCTGCATCGTTGCCGAGCAACCGCCGAGCACAGCACACTCCCTGCGATGCAGACTGTCGAACCATAGAAACGGAAACAAAAGTAAAAATCAGTCTCACCGGCGAAGCGATGATTGCTATAGCAACAATTTGTAATGTTCTGATTGTAATGCTGCATGCACTTTTTTTCCTATTTTTGTTACTGCCCCATTAGACGTGTCACGCATTCTTGGGGAAATTGCGCCTGAGTGACTAGGAACTATCTAGATAATCCTAACCCTTGCGATGAGCAAAAAAGTGGCTACTTGGGCTGGTTGCAGGGAACATGCACTCCGTCATTTCTGTCTTCTTTCTGAAACGTTCCCTGCGCACTAAGAAACTATATTTCTTTCAAAATGCTTCCGATGAGATTACATGCCTGGTAGCAACAACACTGGAATATTCGATGGCACATGTGTGAATGCCGACACACTTCGCTGCTTGGCAGATTATCGACGGCCAACGCTCTGGTTTGCTGCTAACAGTCCACCACATGTATTGCTTGTAGAGTGGCATTTCGTTTTCCGGGCACAGATGCGTCCAAATAAAAGGTTCACTCATGAAAACAGTGGCTGCTGTCTTCGTCAACATCACGACACTCTACTAAATGCTGACAACCAGTTTCGTTTATGTGTTGCATAAAGCTTGATTCTGTGGCACCACACAAAAAGTATATTCACTCGTACCCCAAGCGTATCGTCAAAAGCTTACGGCGCAGAACTCACTTCCAGAAAGCACGCACAGAGTTCTAGAACTCTGGTTTAAAATATTGATGCCGAAGCCATGCACTGGAAGCTTGCGCATTTATGACTACAAGAAAACCCGTAATCACCGTTGCGCACGAGCACACATGAGAAGGCGATATTTATTTGGAGAAGGATAATCACCCTACTTTTGGAAGATAGCACATGACAACATGACGCAGCTACGCTGGTACTCTGCTTAAAAAGGAGCACAGATAGCAGATAAATCGACAAATATATCTCTTCTACACTGTGTCGCGAGCATTGGTCAGTCATGCGCAATGATAAACTGACTAAAACTCATATATATATATATATATATATATATATATATATTATGATGATTCGGTTGTAACGAGGTTTATTGGCTGTGAACTCGGGAACGAACAAGCGCAACGGACCCGAAAATGAAGCGCACGTTCAAAAAGGATGATGATTGTCAGCCAGAACATATGATGATGATTGACTGCTGTTCAGATGAGGATGAAGCGCATAATAGATGCCTACACTGATTCCGCCCCCCCGTGGATGCGGCCAGCCTGGCTGCTGCGGGCGGGTAGTCAAGGTGACGAGGAACGTCGTGTAAAAAGCTTCATGCGGGAAACGTGTACAATTTCGGTGCTGCGGTAACGGTGGTCAGTTGGCACGACAAGAGGCGCCCCACGATAGTTGACAGGTTAAGTCTGCTCTAAAACAACATATGGGCCGATGAATCGAGGCTGGAACTTGTCGCAGAGACCAGGTGTGCGAATTGGTGTCAATAGCAGCACCTCTTCACCCGGTCGGAATGATACCACACGATGAGAGGTGTCGTAGACGGCCTTCCTTGCTTGTTGCGTAGCTTCCGTGTTCATACGAGCGCGCTGGCGGCACTGGGCAAGGCGAGAAATATATTTTTCGCAAGAAGATGGGGATGGAGGGCCATTATTGCTGGTGAAGAAGGAAACATGGATAAAGAAAGTAGGTGAACGTCCGTAAACGAGATAAAACGGTGAGTAGCCGGTTGTGCGCTGAACAGTGGTGTTGTAGGCGAAAGTGAGGAACAATAGAAGTTTATCCCAGTTTCTGTGATCCGGTTGAATGTATATGGCGATCATGTCGGCAAGGGTTCGATGAAATCTCTCGGTCAGACCGTTTGTTTGAGGATGGTAGCTAGACGCCATCTTGTGTGTAGTACCAGAAACGCGAAGAACTTCACCTAAAAGCTGTGATAAGAACACCTTTCCATGGTCACTTAGAAGTACACGAGGAGCACCATGACGTAGTATTATGGCCTGAAGGACGAAGTTAGCAACTTCTGATGCTGAACCAGTAGCTACTGAAGTTGTCTCGGCATAGCGTGTCATGTGGTCTACGGCGGTGACTATCCATCTATTTCCAGCACCAGTAACAGGAATGGGCCCATAAAGATTGACACCGACGACCTCGAAAGGTATTGTAGGGCACGTCATTGGCTGTAACTGACCAGCCGGGGGAGATGTCGGAAATTTGCGAAGTTGGCACGGAGAGCAGGAACCCACGTACTTTGCTATGCTGGTAGAAATCCCAGGCCAATAAAAGCGGCTTCGAATGCGGTCGTAGGTTTTGTGAAAGCCGAGGTGGCCAGCAGTCAAATCGTCATGAAAGGCGTTAAGTACATGTTGTTGAAGATCGTGTGGCAGAACAGGTACCCAGCGTTGGCCGTCAGGATGATATGTGTGACGATACAGCACACCGTCCTGAAATTTGAAGTGCTCGAGTTGTCGACGAAGGCGTGCATTGCGTGGACGCGTAGCTCCTGAGAGGTGGTCTATAATGCGCCGACAATACGGGTCAGCCTGCTGGCGAGAACTGAAGGGTTGTTCATCGTCGATTGGCGGTTGGTACAGCGAGGCGAGCAAGGCAACAGAAGTGGGAGTCCCGTCTGCACTGGTGTCGTTGGAGGTGGCAGCTGGAGTGTTGAACGAAGCCGTAGGTAGCGGGCAACGAGAAAGAGCGTTGGCGTTTTGATGTTTTTTGCCCGATTTATAAATAATCTCAAACTGATACTCCTGTAGGCGTAAAATCCAACGACCCAAGCGTCCGGACAAGTTCTTCATTGTAGAAAGCCAGCATAAGGCGTGGTGGTCCGTTACGATGGTGAATTGACGGCCGTACAGATAAGGACGGAACTTTTGTATAGACCAAACCACAGTGAGGCACTCCTGCTCAGTAATGGTATAGTTCTTTTCGGTAGAAGTAAGCACTCAGCTAGCATATGCG